TTTCAAGAAAAGGAACTTCGTTTCCAAGTGAGCGTTTGGGCTAGATTTTGAGTAATTATCTCAATTAAAGAAAGATGTGTTTAAAACACTTATGAGCTAAAGTATTTTGGGAGTAGTATCGAGCACCGAATTGGGGACGCGAGTTCATATTAACTCAACTCTCCATAAGAACCATGTAGCCAACATGGGAGTTAACGGGTCATACTTTTTAGATGAACCCGTAAAGTTAAGCTAGTGGATCCACTTAGTAAAGTTAGCTTCCTATATCACGACAAGGTATAGGATGGTCCTCGGGCAACGTGAGGTAAAACGTTGTATCACCACTTAGTTTCATAGTGGTGGTTGTCGGTTAGAGAAACTCTCATAGTAGAAATTGCATAGTTCCTCGAGGGGTTCTGCTTAGTGTGGATGGGGATTCATTCATACATTGCACAAGTAGACTTTGAGGGGAAGCCTGGTATTTTTTTAATGATATTATAAATATGATTTTGACGTCATGTTTTAATAGTTTTACAAGCTTTATATATTGCATGTGTCTTATTGCTTTATATATTGAGTTCAGTTATTCATAAGTTGAACAGAGCCAAGGTAAGTGTTCTCTTGTACTCCTTTCAAGCTTAAGTTGTGGTTTAGCTTTCCAGCTCGCATACTCGTACATTCAATGTACTAATGCCAGTTGGCCTGCATCTTATGATGATGTAGACACAGGTACCCCAGGACCAGCATTCGGTACGCCGTTGATCCAGCTGAGTACTCCAGAGTCAGTGGTGAGCCTCCTTGCATTCCGGAGGACTCGGTTATTTTGTTCTCTTAGTTTTGTTTTATTAGGATGTTGTAAGGTCTGTCCCAATATCCATCTCAGTATTTTAGAGGTTTCATAGACAGACAGTCAGTCAGTTAGTTTTGAGTCTCTTATCGATGTATATATGTAAATATTCTATTTTGAGACTCGAGTGGCCTTTTTGGCCAGATTTTATCAGTTAGGTTGTTTTATAACCTTGCATTGCATTGAGTTATTCTGTTGAGTTAGGTTTCCGCTGAGTTAAGAAAGCCAGGCCAAGTGTTCGCTTGGGGGCCAGCAATGGTCTTCGAGTGTCGGCCACGTCCAAGGTGTAGGCTCGGGGCGTGACATATGTTTTGTTAAGAAGGTACAAGAGAGTGACAAGTTAAAGTCTAGGTCTACTGCTTGTGTTTTTATGTGATATGCTGAAACTAAAAAGGCTATGTTTTATATGATTTGTCTAACAAGGTCTTTTCTGTTAACAAGGATGTAGTGTTTCAAGAAGAGGTTTTCCCATTCAAACTGAAATCAACTGAGTCAGTTCCTATACTTACTTATAATGGCATAAATCTTGAGAGTGATGGTGTGGTAGATAGTTCAGACAATAACCTAGCACCACACTTATATCAAAACACACCTGTGGACATGATGTCTCAAGAACAAGAGGAGAATTGTGATGTGGAGGTACATGAAGAAGGGCAGACAGAACCAGTACCTCAAACTGGGGTGAGAAAGTCAGGCAGAGAGACTAAGCCACCTTTGTGGATGAAAGATTTTGTGTCTCTAAATATCCATGAGGGTCCATATAGTCTTGACAAGTATGTATCATACAACAATATTGCTCCTACTTATCAAACATATTTGGCAAAAATGTCTAATGAAACAGAACCACAGTCATACAGAGAAGCATCATTTGATCCTAGGTGGATTGAAGCAATGAATGCTGAGATTAAAGCATTACAAGAGAATCACACTTGGGAAATAGTTGAGTTACCAGAAGGTAAGACACCTTTAGGCTGCAGATGGATATTCAAGGTCTAACACAAGGCTAATGGAGATGTGGAAAGATTTAAAGCAAGGTTGGTGGCAAAAGGGTATAGTCAGAAAGAAGGTATAGATTACCAAGAAACATTTAGTCTTGTTGTTATGATGAAGACAGTTAGGGCTGTTTTGGCTATAGTTGCACAAAGACATTGGCAAATACATCAAATGGATGTATTTAATGCATTCCTTCAATGTGACTTACCTGATGAAATCTACATGGAACTACCTCAGGGATTTGAGAGCCAGGTGGAGAATAAAGTATGTAGACTCACTAAATCCCTGTATGAGTTGAAATAAGCTCCTAGACAGTGGAATGCAAAGCTGTCTGAGGCATTATTGAGGTTTCAGTTCAAACAAAGTGAACATGATCATTCTTTATTAACCAAACAAACATCAGCAGTGTCTGTATTTGTTCTTATATATGTTGATGACATGCTTATTACATGAAGCAGTGGTCAACTCATTGAAGAAACAAAAAAAATTTGAGTCAAACCTTCAAGATGAAGGACCTAGGTGAGCTAAGATATTTCCTAGGAATTGAGTTTGCAAGGTCAAGTAAAGGGATACTAATGCATCAGAGGAAATATGCTTTAGAACTTATCTCTGAAACATGACTGGGAAATTCAAAACCAACAGTGAATCCTATTGACAAGAACAACAAATTGACTTCAAAGCAATATGATGATCAGTTCAATTCAGAAAGTTCAAAAGAAGATCCTCCAACTGATCAAAGTGCTTATCAGAGATTGATAGGAAAGCTTCTCTACCCTACTATGACAAGGCCTGCTATTTCATTTGGAGTGCAGACCTTGAGTCAATTTCTACAACAACCTAAACAGACTCACATGGAAGCAGCCCTGAGAATTGTCAGGTATATAAAAGGGCAGCCTGGTCAATGAATAATTCTGTCTAGTGTACAAGACAACAATATCACAACTTTTTGTAATGCAGACTGGGCATCATGTCCTCTTACAAGGAAGTCTGTAACAGGATACTTTATCAAGCTTGGCAACTCTGTTGTATCATGGAAATCTAAGAAACAGTCTACTGTTTCTAGAAGTTCAGCTGAAGCTGAATACAGAAGTGATAGCATCCATGTCAGCCTAC